GTTCTGCAGAAAGAAAGAAAAAAAAGAATTAGTGACAAATCCAGGTGCTTACTAAGAATTATACAAACAATACAAATACTATTCACATTTAATTTGAACACATCACTTATAAATGTTGACATATTCATGATAATTTATTGCAAACATTACACTTCAAAACAGCGTTACATTAAAAGATGAAAGGCTGCTGCACAACTGATGTGACGTCTAATTACATCTGTGTGCCTCCCACAGTTAGCCATGGACACCTGTTATGTTTATTTAATCGTGTAACTTTAATTGTATGTATTTGTGTTATGTTTAACTCATGTTCATGCATGCTGTTCATTGTGTAATGATTGAGGGGAGGTGGTTACTCTGATAAGACTTTGGGATCTTGTTAACCTCCAATACACAGCTGCTTATTTAAATCTGAATGTTTTGCTAATAATTCACCCTGACTAAAGAGATCAGCCTCCTAAAGTCAAACTGTCTTTAACCTTAAAGCTGTTTATCTCACAGCAGACAGTTAAAGAACCCAGACTGTAATAAAAAAGTAGCTCCTACTACTGGCTAGGAGCGGCTAACACTCACAGGCCTGCTATGGCTATGTCTCGTGCTAAATATGTAACAGAAAACGTTATATATTTTTTACAAGCCTTTCGTCAATAAAACTCACTCAAGTGTCTTTAAACCGTAGAGTGCCCATTGCTGCTTTAGGTCCTAACAGCTCTTTGTCATATTAAAATGTTTTTACAACACTGCAACTACCACAGACCAACATTAACATAGTTGCTTCGACCATCGAAGTTACAACGTTAATAACTGTTATTTACAAAAATAAAAAAAGCTACGTGTCCATTTAATCCTTGTTGTTAATAGCATTCGATCACAAACAGCTAAAAGGATAAAAGATTAGGTCTCTAATACAATTTCAGAAACGTATAATTAGTGGAAATGAAGCCCGTCTTACCTCTCGGAAGTGAAGTCAGGAATAAAGCAGTTCCAACCGGTTCAAACTGGTACTGCTGGACAGGAAGTGATGATGCGTTCAGGAGCACTGGGATATTCCAGGATTTCATGTTTACAGATTTGGGAAGCGATTTTTAACAGTGAAAAAAGTTSTACCACGTGTTGTTTGCCACACATTTATACTCCTATGTAACTGAACAAATMTAAATTAGTCTGCAGAAACTAAATGCAAAGTGAGACAACCGTGTTTTACCACTGACTCCTAACTGAACTGTGCTTCCAGTTCACAGGTCATATAACTTCAAGCGTGCTGGTTTTATTACAATTTCAAAGATATAAAGACATAGAAAACAGCAGGAACACATTGCTAAACATTTACTTGCATATACACAAAAACAAAGTTATATTTCGAAACGAAAACTTGATCACGTTGGAAAAGGAACGTTTACTGTCGCTATGGAAACGTGTAAACATAAACTCCGCTGTTTTCAGTTTTCAGGACAAACAATAGTTTTAAACTGTCAAGGTACATCAAATACAAATTTAGTTTTTCCCAGTTTAAAGGAATTTGAGGCAATCCAGTAGAGCAGACTGCTGGTGTATTAGGATGTGTACTACTTTATAACTATTGAAGTTTTGTGTTTGAATCCCGTTCATATCAGATTTGGTTTTGTGATCATTTAAATTCCCTGTTAATTTATTCATGGATCAGGCTTGTCTCTTATGTCTGTTAGGATAAAGAGGGAAATAATATATCCTGGCACACATCAGTGGGTAAACAGGTAAGTCGAGCAAATAACATTTATGTATTTCAACCTTGAAAGACTCACACAAACACAAAACGTGAAATTAGAATGGATTTATTGCCATGATTGAACATATTGACATGAATCACAGGTTTGGTGCTCAGACACCAGATGAGAATTGTAGCACTGTGAGAGGTTGTAAGCTTGAATGAGATGATTAGGTTAGTGGGTCTGATTTTTCTTCCCCCCCGAGGCCCTGACACTGGTGGTGGTTGCAGGAGAGGGTGACACCTGGAAGGTAGGTTGGATGAGGCGAGTTGATTGGTAGACATTCGACTGGCAAGCAACTGCAGCAGTTGAGGAGGACGGTTTTTATTTCAGGCTGCTGGATCTTGATTGGATGAGGCTGAGCGTGTGGTAATGGAGCTGGATGAGCCAGAAGAGGGTCGTTAGTCTTTCAGAGTGAAATTTTCATTGTAAAACTCCATTTTATTTTATTTTATATGCTCATTGAAATATACTACATGTCCTTGTTACACAGTCTGTAAAATTTCAAATGCATGTTACTCTTTAAGTTTCAAGGATTTCTGTGCTGCACACAGAAGCTGCAGTAGCTGAGGCAATATCTGGAAACTTCAATAACTGTGCTTCTAGGAAAAAGTACAACTGTGAAATAACATCATGGTTTCATTGTTTGTGGCGTTTCACCAGACTCTAGTCCTGTTTTCTCTAGCCTAAGTTTTAAAATAAGACTGAAGAAGTGAGACTTCCTGTAGTATTGCTTACAAACTTTTTATATGTATTTTAACATTTCTCTTTTGTTTATGTGTAAAAGAAGGTACACATACATGTGTGCATATGTTTTGTTGGAAAATAACATACTTCCTACTTTTGTTTATAAAACAAACTGGTAAATGTCTTAAAGCCAAGAAATATATTTTTAATGAAGATTAAAAAAACTTGTTTCACTCAGCTACAAAGATTTGTCTCTGTTGATCTCAAAGCAGTTTTAAAATAACACTTTAATATTTCTACTGCTAGGATTTCAAAAACCAAGATTATTAAAACTACACAAGTATTACAGTGTAGTAAACTGTACAATAGTTATGTGCAAAGTATATACC